GTAGTGTATCTTCTATAGCAGAAAAAGCACGACGAGCTTTCTTAAGTAATTTGTGGATATGCTGTTTGACCTAGATCCGTCTGGTGATTTCAAATATGCTCGTATTTTCTCTTGAGAATGTACAGAAAGTGAAAAAAATTGAAAGTACTTGAATATTTAAGTAGAGGTTCACTCAGTTTCTCAATATTTTAACGTCATTTTGCAGGCTAACTAGTGAGAATGTTTTCCACCGAATAGCTCATTGAGACCCATCAGATTAGTAGAGAAACTTATATTTTACTAAAACTCTGTTTCTCGTCTTTAGATCCTCTGATTACGCATGAATATCCGAACGAATCTGGCTTTATCTATGGCATGGCTTTGTAATAAGAATCGTTTATTCGTTTTTTTAAATAACAGAATATTTCAGAATCGTAATATCTTGAAATGTCTATAACATTAAACAGTATAGAGAAAAGAGAAACAAGGTTTCATTAATTGATTGATTACAGATGAAATTGATTGCAAAACTATTCAAAAACGATCACAACCACTACAGCTCATTTTGCCGATGAATTGACGTTTTCATATGCAACTAATAAGCACTCTATTACCACCTATTATTTTGGAAACCGTGGTTAACCTTCAGAAATTAGACGCTTCTGTTGACATGAGAGAATTAACCTCCTGTCAGATAATAGATGGCCTGAACAATGTCCAAAAGCTCCGACCACTTGAATAGTGAAATACTATTATCCATTTCAATGAACAATGGAGTCGGTTGTAAGTTGAATAACTCCGGATAGGAAGCAGCTAGAGACCATGCTGAGTCGAGTGGTGATATTTATTTTCAGTTTCGAAGCGATTGAAATCATTAAATTAACTGTTTCTGAAATTTTTATATTCGGACGTTATGTCGCGCTATGCGGCGTATTGAGTCGATATTTCAAAAAAGTTTAATCTAGCGAATTAATTCGCTTCAAAACTGAAAATAAATATGATCACTTGACTCAGCATGGTCGGTTACCTATATTTCGAGGTTTTTTGGAGTGATCCAAGATGAGCTGGCCGAAATCGGGGCTCTCAGGAAACTACTTATATTTCCTGAACAGCACAAGCTAAAGAACTGGGCCTTGTGTACATCAATAGAGAACAATTTTCTCTATCGAATGGTTGTATTAGAATTTCAAATCCAACGGGGAATCTTTTCTCCAGGCAGTGCCCAATATGTCAAGCGAAAATTCACCTGATTGGTCAATTGTTGACCAACCAGCTTTCGATATTTCTTAATAAAGAATATTATTCTCTTTCGAATGTTGAAAACCGCAGGCCTCTAGCTGCTTCCTATCTGGAGTTATTCAACTTACAACTGACTCCATTGTTCATTGAAATGGATAATAGTACAAATTCTACACCGGCAATAAACTATTGTCTAATCGAACTCTCTTTTATGATGTTTAGTTGAATAACTATAAAGACAACGAGAGGCTGGCAAATGGTAACTCCTTAGGTGTTTGATAAATCTCACGTACTGTCAACTGCGCTTTAGTGGATTGCTTATGATGCTTTCTGTGTCTGACTACTGATTAACAATTCTACTTCTCCCCGTCAGATAAGGTTGGGTTCAAGCGTCATGTGTAGTAGTGTGTCCCTACTATTCAACAGGTCTGCATGTCTGGGTTGGGTTGGTTGGGTTGTCATGTGTGTCTCACTAGTGATCATCAGTTCTATATGTCTGGGTTGGGTTGGGTTGTCACGTGTATCTCGCTGACCCTACCCTCATCCCTCACCCAACCCAGAGATTTAGTGATAAATGTTAACTACAGACATGACAACCCAACCCAGACATATAGAACTGATGATCACTAGTGAGACACATATGATAACCCAACCCAACCCAACCCAGAGATTTAGCGATATATATTAACTACAGACATGATAACCCAACCTTACCCAACCCAGAGGTATAGAACTGACGATCAGTAGTAAGTTACAGCCAAAGAGACATGATGACCCAACCTTACCCGCTACAGGGACAACGACATACTAGGAACTGATCTCCGCCTTGCTGTTGTCAAAATTCTTTAGGAACTACTATTTGCCTTCCTATGAAGACAACCATCACAGAAATCGCTCAATTTCCCCATGCCTTCCGCGCATCGCTCCACTGAAACCTGTTGCAATACCTTAGATCTCTTTTTCTACTCATACTGAATGGAAGTAGTGTAGATCTCTTCACCATGATTTGGTACATAAGCATATTTGTTCTCTAGCATCAAGTATTTTCACGCTGTTCAATAATTTTTATTTTGGGATCATGATGTTGACAAAAGAGAATATTATTCTCGCTAAATTAGTCCCACCGTAGTATATATTCTATTTTATCAATAAAAAAAAAGTTATTATTATTATCATCCATGAACTCAAGTGTTTATAGTTATTGTGACGCATTTATTTCATACATCTGTACACAAAAAAATGAGATTCAGCTTCTGTAAATTATATACATTTTGTTGAGTGTTTCCAGTGTCTCTTCTTTTTGACAAAGAATTATCAGTGTTATCTGTACTTCTCTTTATTATCTTCCCCTTATAGTTAAGAGCTAGTCAAATGACTGTATTAAATAGAAAACATGTACTGCACGTAGAAAAGGCAAGAACATACTATCTTACCATTTGTATCTCTAATAGTAGTTATTTTTTTCACTTTTTGAATAGCGAAAAAGAAAAATAGAAAAAAAATAACAACTGATTCACTTTGCATCGTTATCAATTTGACTTATTGTAGTGAAGTTCATCATATTTCTATTACACAATCAAAGGAAAAAGATTATGATTATTTTTCTATAAAGTATACCATTATCGATGTATGACTAGTGTTTGGTTAGCTGTTCTGACATTGCATTGCATGTATAATCATCAGACAGATGCTCTTCTGATTGATCGGTGTTTGTCCAGAGAAAAATTTACTTTAGTTTATTTAGATACTTGTTGAAAAATACCTAAAGCAAATCACGTCCATTATAGTATACATTCCTATTATACATTCTACATGAATACTATTCTACAAATATACTGTTGTTGAATAATGTTCGATAATGTTGGTCACATGACCTAGTGCCTCGCATAAAAATTATTTCAACTCAATTTAACCTTCCTGTAAGTCAATCTAAATCCAATTTGATTGTAATTAACATAAAAAATAAAATAAAATTACTCATTAGTATGTTAAAACCAATGATCTATCTTCAGCTAACTAAAATTAACTCTAAATCTAAAATTAAAAATAAAATATAAAAAATATAACATCGTAAATATGAACTATTTTTAATATTTCTAATTCAAATAAATAAACACAACATTGCGACGGTATTGCAATTGATAATTATAAATAGAATAATAAAATTTACATTAATTCATTTACATCAATAAATAAATACAAACAGAAGTAAACCATACAACATCTATAAAATGTCAGTATTAAGCTGAAAATTCAAAACCATAATGAACTCAGGCTTCCCTAGACAAAACTAATATACGAATTAATCTAGAAAAAATTATAAAACATTTTAAAAGCACATAAAAATCATGAAACTTAGTAATCAAAAATAAATAACCATACTCCATCGAATTCTCTTCTTATATGTAAAACTATTGAAAGTTGTACAAATTGATCGACAAATATGAACTGAATGTATCTCTATAATTATGATACGAATAAACACTCATTATCAAAGTGTTTCAATTAACTTTTTTATTTCCTCATTATTTTCTATTGTTTATCAATAACAAACATTAATACATAAACATTATCTTTTATTTTTTTTACGTAATGGGCTAATAATTAAAATAGCAACTACATAAAGTACAATGATACTACTAACAACAAAGCATTTAACTCTCTGTTTGTCATCACATTGTTTGATCATCATTTATTATTTCAAAGTCAAAAGAGATTTTAAGTGATTTGAGAAAAGTTTTGTATCTGACGTTCGTACTCATGGCCTATATTAACACACGATCAAAGTGCATATTAAGTTAGTATCATGTAGTTCACCTATCCGTCATAGATCTTTTTTTTGTAGGTAATTTACTATTTTAACTTCGCCATTATTATTCTTTTATTATTCTTCGGTATTATAAAATGGAAATTGAAGAATGAATATTTATATATAGTTGCTGATTTTATTTCGACTATCGGTAGTGATTGTTGATGAAAAGTTAATTGTAAAAGAAACTGAAAAAGAATTTGTTTTTATTTATTTATGCCGGCAATACGAGAAATTGTATTTAATACGTACGTGATCAGATATTTATACAATGTGTGAGAGAAAACAAGAAGCGAAAAGAAAAATTATTAGATGGTTGTTGTCTTCAAAGAATGACAACTCTAGTTTTTCTGAAAATATTGATGCTAGAAACATCTTGATTAGAAGTATTTTCCTAAAATTACACTGTTCGACATTGAACGATGTTACTGGCATAAATCAATGATGAAAGCGGCTATTTGAGAACTGTAAGTCATTGCATCCCTCCCACATATAGTACACATTCACGCAGACATATGGCCAAAAAGGCGATTTGGATTGATGAATCCTTCAGTTGGATAACTCGGCTATCTTTTCCAAAAATACAATAATATTTTATATTTTCCATTCTAGTTCAACGTGATTTTCTTATTGTATAAGAGATAAATGACCATGTATGCCCTCGAAATGTGGATATGCTATAGGTTCGATTGATTCCTGATATTATTATTCATTGCTTGTGGACAAAAACGAGTATTTTATTAATCTTGACATTTCTTAGTCACATACACATACACAATGCATGTAATTTATCTAAATGCTAGAACGCAGTTGAATCACTGAGTTGAAGTTGTATATAAAAAAGAAAAATGTAAAATTCCCTATTAAAAAATATTGCATTGATTTTGGAATAAAAGCACCTTCTCTGTTGTCTTGACCATGTGAAAGAAATAATATTCACAATTTTCACTTGATTAATCTTCTATACACATTTTTATGTAAATAAATGTTCATATGATGATAATGCACTTCTAACCGAACAAAAATCATCCAATGAATCAAATTTTGTTTTATTAATATTGGATATTTTTTTCAATTGTTCGATTCGTTGTTCAATATTAAATATTAAACGATTGATAATTGCTCGACTCATATGAATTTCACCAATTTTTAATAAAACAGATAAATTTTCAATTGTAGCTAATAACGATGAATATCTAAAATAAAATAAATAAAATAATTTTTATATTAAAATTTTAGTAAAATTTAAATTAAAATTTATATGTTAAAAGTTTTATCTAAGAGATATTTATACCTGGCTTCTAATAATTCTGCATCACGTGGCATTTGTGTTGCTTGTACAACATCATTCATTTTATTTTTTAATTTTCCTACATGACGTGTAAATTCTGATGATAAATCGTATTCATTATTAAATTGAGTTGTTTCATTCAAATTAAAATTGTCTAATTTTGCATAAAGATCATTACAATCTTCAAATATATCTCTATCACATGGAATTCTATAAAATGCAAAAAACATTATTTAGATTAATCTGTTAACTGTATAATTAAAAAGATACATACCGTATCGGTAAATTTGACAATTCTTCAACAATTTTAGGTGCAACAGGTTGATGTTCAATATCCGTATGTGTTTTTATTGATATTTGATCACATTTCAATAATTGTTCATCTATCTCTTCACTTGAATCTTCTACAATAGCATCAAGATTATTAGTTACTTTTTTCTGTAAAAAATTCGTTTCTGTTTCATTAATTAACATAATATTCGATTCTTCATCACTGTTTTGACGATTTTTATTACCATCTCCATCATCAAATAGAATATTATCAGTTTCATATTGATTATTGTTGAATATTTTATTCGTATTAACTATAGATGATTCTTGTTGTGGATTATGTTCAGTTATAGTAGAAAAGAGTAAAGTAGTAGTTTCATCATGTTTTATTATTGGAATAGTGGATGATGTTGATGTTGAAGAAAGATTAGTACCAGAATAATATTGTGGTGGTGAATCTAGATTACGAAATATACTAAAATCAACATCTTGACGTTTCGAATTTGTATGACAGGTTGATGATAGTTTTAATTGATCGTCAGTTGATTGTCCATTTAGTACAATACTAAGAATTAAATAAAAAAAACGATAATTAGTTAATTAAAAATCTATTATATTTTTTAGAAATTTTTTTCATTTTTTTCATTTTTTCTTACCCATCGTTTTTCTCAATAAGAGTGTTATTTACTCCTTTTTGTTTTTTTTTATTTTTTATTGAAAAACATCGCCAAAAAGAACTCATACTATTTCTTTAATATAGAAACAGTTAGCGTCCAATATATTCGAGTAATAATATATACGAAACATATTGTTATTTTTACAAAAATATAATTGACATCTCTCGTTTCTCTCGTTTCTCTCAACGATATATGATGTATTTCTTTCCTTCTACTTTCTATAGAATATTTATTTTCATTATTTTCTTCTTTTAATGCGTTGCTATTACTCTCTCCGTACTATAATCATCTGAGAACAAAAATCGAAATTTTGCTGGCTGATCTTGCACGACAAGTATTATTAATAAATATGAGTGGTTAAAACATTATGTATTCAAATATGCAGTCAAAGGAGAGAAAAATAAGAAAAATGTTTTTTTCTGTTTTTAGTTTCGATTAAAATAATGTCAACTCAATAATAAATGTGCCCATAGCAAACCGCATTGATTTCATTCTTCTCTTTCTTTCTTTCCCTTTTTTTTTTTCGCTCATATATAAAATCATCTGAGTTTTTATTATATGTTCAATCTCAGCCGATTTTTAAACAACTATAAAGAACTATGTTAAAGATGATTTTCTTCATCGTTTAACACCTAACAGGCATTCTGCTTTATTTTACGTTTCTTTAATTCCATCAGTCCACAACAAATATAGCCTGTATACTTAAAAGTTTTGTTATTACTGCTCTATTTCTTTCTCTCTCTTTCTCATAAAAACGACATACAATGACTTTTGAAATTAGATGAAAGAAATGTACCACTAGAGAAAAAAACTTAATCTACACCACTGTATTCTAATCAACACAATAATGGATACTATTTTTCGACTCTTTCCAAATGAAGACCACTTTTTTGCACTTACTCCCACTCTCTGCTTCTCGCCCTCTAATGTTTGTCTGATGTCAACTAAGACTTAAAGACAATTAAGACATTTTATCAAAAAAGTGATCTCAATTCGGGAGCCTCGTATTTTTCTGCTATGTATTCGGAAAGACGATCAATAATCAGTAATTTACTGTCCATAGTGATAATGTTCTCATTATCGTGATAATAATAAAAGTTATTTATAGTTATTTATAAAGTTATTTTTTCTGATGATCTCCTTTTAATGAACGGTTCTATGTATTTCACAAAGATTTTTTTAAAAGGAGAACAAATGATTTTTTCAAGCTTAAGAAAGATTGAGAAGTCCCTCAAGTATAGATTGAACACGACGACCTTGTCTACTGAGTTAAGCAGCCTAAAGAGTTTTCTTGTTTTTGTCAATCACTGTCGCTGTTTTTTTATTTCCGTTATTTGATGTAATTACAAAAAACAAGAAAGAGGACTTCGTAAGACAAAAGTGGAAGGAATTTCACAAGGATCAGATAAGAATCGAGTACGAATCTTGTAAGACTTTCATAAGAAAATGATAAGAGCCCTTATTAATTTCTTATTAACTTTTTATACAGTTCTAATTTAAATCACATCAGATTCTTACGAAATTTTTGTAAGAATTATTCTCTTCTCATTTTCTCCTCGCACAAAATAACTGCGATAAATATATAACTGCGCAGTTTAAACTATACTACATATGTTGTCTACTAAGACCTTTCAGAAGTATAGCATGTGACTTGCGTTGAAACACAAAATATTAGATGGGGTGATCAGCATATTTCGAAACCCTATGCAACTGCGAGGGAACCTTTCGAAGTGATTAAACGCTTTTTGCATGGAATCTAGTGGGTTATAGGTTATCGACTATGCTGATTGCGAATATGACCATGGTGGTTGCCCTTAGCCCTTCGAAGGCCTGGTTTTCTAGAAAACCAGTTTTTCAGAAACTCTAAAATATAACTCGAACCTTTCTTAATGAGGCATAATTGCAGCCTGCACATTTCTGATTAAAATGAGACATCTTCCAGCTTTATACGATCTTTCTTTGCACAGTTGTAGAAGAAGAAATTAATTTAGGGCTTTTCTTGTAAATTCTATAACTGTGCAGAGAAAGATCGTGTAAAACTGGAAGATGTCTCATTTTAATCGGAAATGTGCGGGCTACAATTATGCCTCATTAAGAAAGGTTCGAGTTATATTTTAGAGTTTCTGAAAAACTGATTTTCTAGAAAACCAGGCCTTCGAAGAGCTAAGAGCAACCGTCATGGTCATATTCGTAATCAGCATGGTCGATAACCTACAACCCACTAGATTCCGTGCAAAAAGCGTTTAATTACTTCGAAAGGTTCCCTCGTTAGTTGAAAAAGATTTTTTTTGTTCATTATTGTTAAAAACTTATGAGAACTGCTTAGAAAATCATTTTGAGTGAAGAAAAAACTTTTTCGTATAAGAAATTTCATACGAAATCGATAGGACTCTTATCACTTTCCTATGAGTTTTTACTCTATTCTTATCTGATTCTTAAGAAATTTCTTCCACCTTCGTGTCACTTCTTATAAAAGAATCTAGTGAGAATCAGATAAGTTTCTTATCAAAAGCAGATAAGAAGCTAACATGATTCTTATCAGATCTCTGTCAGATTCTCATATAATATTCGATGACTAGGGTTCGAACTCATCATATCTAAAACAATCAATTAGCACAGAGAATGCTCCGATCTGTAGCTCCGAAAAGTCTTTTGTACTTTGAAAGAATAATCGCAACTAACCATCATACTGATAACCTAACAACATTTCACAGCAAGCCTGAGAGAACTTAACGACAGTACTGAGTATCGGTAAAAAAAATTACGAACCGGTCAAAAAATCCCACGAGCAATTGATTTTTTGTTACCGTTACTTTTCATTCTATACTCCTCTAATTCTTCCACTACACTATTTATGTTTTTCTTCCATTTTCACCTATACGTTTTGTCATGTCCCAAATAAACATAAAATCTTCCAGTGACTCAAATCAGGTTTCACAACAAATAAAATATCTTATCAAAGTCTCTATTTAACCAAACAGTCACTTTTTTTTTGAAACCACCTATTAGACTTCATTTTGTATAAATAATGAGTCATATGCTAATTTGTTAGTACAAATGGTGTTGATGGATTGGTAAGGCAAGTATAAAAGCTTAAGATGAGAGATGATCTCTTTTTTCCTCCATCCTCATCTTTAACCTCATTTATTTTTTTTTCGTCATTCTGCACGATGCGGTCATTCTCACTCACTATATAAACTATCTGTTAGAGAGTAGGGCTTATAGAAATGTATACTCGGCTTAGAAGACAGTAACAAACAGTTAAATTAAATATTTACATTCGTTACGTTTAGATTTCATTCAAAACAAGCCAAGTACTATTATCAACTATCATTCATTAGATCCTTACATTTTGTGATAACTAAAGGTCAGATCGATGACAAAATAGCAAACGAAATTTGAACTGCTCTCCTTCATATTTGATAATGATGTATAAGTGTAATGCTCTTTTCAAACTTACATTACTAGTCTTTGTTTAATGCAAATAATTCAGTCGGTATTTGAAAATCACATTCAATACTCTAAATACTAAATAATGAGAGAATTATATCGAACTAATTTAAATACAAAACTTATTGCATATTATACACAGATAAACTATGAAATATAAGATTCACTTAATTCATTTTTTTAATATCTGAACGGAGCAGATTTAAAAACTGTAGAAAACTTAGTAGAATAACTCACATCGTTCTATTCTACTGCACAGTGAAGATGTCTTTTCTATTCTTTATCAGTTAGTTATATAAAAAGTACAATCTTAATTTGGATTCCATTGAGAGATAAAAGCTGACATCAGACTGGTATATTATCAGACAAATATATCTATCTATAAACAGGTACATCCCTGCAGTTCTACTAAAATACAACGATAAATGTACTATACAATGAGAGTACTATATAAACCGCATGTAAATTAAAAACAAATATTATTCGCATCATGAGATAATAATAACATTCCTAAGTTCTAACTAAAAAATTGTTACAATGAATAGAACCAGCATATTTTCTGATAAATTTATGCCTCCTTGCTGTTGTCGCTACATATGCCAGGAGAGCCCAATAGTAACTAAGCCATTATAATAACAGACATTCGATAATTATCTACACATATCTTTTAAAATTTGATTTTTTGCTATGATTAATACGACAAATTTTCTCATGATGACAAGATTTCATGTATCACTGTTCCTGGAGAGTTTAATCTATTAGCAAGAAGAATTTAATAATTACCTCTTACATTCCACTTTCGTTGAATTAGTCCTCGAGCTCATGATAGCAACCTAAGATATAGCTCATTTTCTAATATAATTTCACGACTCATCTCATGTGAAATGCAATAGATTAATCTTATCATCAGACATCTTTTTAAAATATGACTGTATCTTTATTGAATTGACTTCTCGGCTTGACCACATAACTCTCCTATCGCAGTATAATTCCGATATGTTTGGTTTTTTTGCGTTTTGTTTCTGTTATGGTTTTCGAATGGTTACATGTCTCTGCAACGGAAGAAAAATGTGTGCTGAACATTCTGAGACGTTTCCAGTTTTTGTACGTTTTTTCATTTAGAAATATGACAAAAAATACAATTACCTACTTTTAAAAACCCATCCGAAAAAGCAGTTATTTATATGTATATTCTTTTCATATTTTCTGCACGAACACAATGTAAAGAGAGAGCGAGAACGTATCAAAATGTTCAACATACATTTCATGATGTTGCAGAGACGTGTCGCCATCCAGAAAATCATAAGCGAAACAAAACCCAAAAAACATGTCGAAATTTCACAGTGGTAGTAGAGTTATGTGGTCAAGCCGTTCTGCAAATTTACATGTCATTTACAGATATTACCTATCTTTTGTTTCCGATTGTGGTACACGGTTATATTGATTTAATGTTGGTAGTGCTTTATATTTTAGAATAAATACTAAACCGATAATAGCAATAATTAACAAAATGATAGCAACAAGTAATATCGTAGCAATAAGGATCAATGGATTCGTCATTCAAAATCATTCGACATTTAGACGGATAGATAGAGTAGTTTAAAAGTGTAAAGCGAACAATAAAATAAAAAGATATAGATAGATATACGATTGATGAACATCTATTTTTTTCTGTCTTTCTCTTTCTTTTTTTTTGTTCTGTCCAGTAGATCGAGGTATTGCAAGTGATTAAAATAATTCTCAGGATAAAAAAATCTCCGATTGATACGACTTTTGGCAATATCTGTATTTCTTCCTCTTAACAACAAAAAAAGAAGAAGAGAAGTCGTGATGAAACAATAAAGCAAGAGAATAAAAGAAGGAATAAAGAATAAAAAAGAGGAATATTACATCAGAGGGGGATATCATGACAACGAAGGATCTCCTATTCGCTAATCTAATGACCTTGTCGTCTTCTTTATTCTTGTTTTTTTAACTGATATCATATCTAATATATTTTTGAAAATTTTTGTGCAATATAATATCAAAATTATACGTAATTATTCTGTTCAGTACTCAAAGTGTTGAAAGTAATTCAAATAATTATCTGAATGAATGAATAATCAGGAGAATAGGATTAAAAGAAAAAATTGATTAATATCATTAATAAAAATAACAAACAGACATAGTGAACAAGCAACAGTGTTATCGATCAATGTTTTCTTGTGACAAAAAATGAATTAGTTTCTTTCGAGAAAAATAGTAAATCGGTTATCGTTAGACGCATAAGAGTACTGCTGGTACAGAAAAAAATAAAGACAATGATAGTGTTACTAAAACATGCTTACATATAAATAGAACAAAGATTCATTGGACATAGACGCCATTTGTTCTAGACTTTTCATGATCTAAACCGATACATGTACGAAAATTAATAATTAAGGGGATTTCTTAGTTTTCTCTTGGCAGTTACTATGATCAGTGATAACCAAGTTTATTATCCTATTTTTTCTGCGAACTTTCTGTTCGCGTATTCATCTCAGAAGTAGTGAGTGATACGTGAGATAAATGATACTAGAAGAGATGTATGCAGCCGACGTCCTAGTGTAAATCTCCCTTTTTTGTGAATTTCTGAACGTCTTTGTTTACTTGATAAGGAAAATATAAAATATTATGAAGATCGAACATAGTGGAACTGAAACATCTCACTATGTTATAATATGTTAGTTTAGTGAAAAGTGTGCAAGTTAGTTAGTCAAATCATCGTCATTGATGAATGTTTCTGATGTAAAAACTACGTTGTTAAGTACTGTCTTGCAGATAGCAACCACTCTTACATCTTTGCAACCCATGAAGACTTTTTTAATAAATTTATTACAATGAATGGCTATTTTATTCATTCGTCATGGTTTTTTCTCTTATTTACCGAGATAAGAGTCATCATTATAACAAACTTGTTGACCATACAAAAGATTTTCATTGCGCTATCCCTTGATGCATATATTATGTAGCAATTTAACTCGATAGGTTTTTATCTCGATAAAGATCAGAAAAAAAAGTGACAAATAAATGAAAACGGCATTTATCTCGATACTTTTTTGTCGATATAAAAGGTATCCAGATGAATGCTGCTTTCATCCACCCTGATTTGTACGGAAATAAATCAGGACTTGATATATATATATCGACACATATCGCGATGACAATCTTTATCTGTAATCATCGTAGGAGATTATTGATTTAGTGACCTGCATAACATATACTGATACGTCTCGATAATCGTTTATTAGACTATCATGCATTCTGAGGTATTTCGTAACCCCATCTAGTTGAATGCTCTTTTTTTACAGAAGTTTCTCAGTGATCCCAAATAATCACACGGTATTCAATCTGTGAGGCTCGATATACCATATATTCTGTCCCATAGTTTATTAGTGCTGCTTGTAGTCCTGCTTATACGACAAAAAAATAGAGAAATTTTGCTAGTGATTGTTATTTTTGCATAAATGTTAATTAAACGCAAGAGCACAACATATTCAGCACTTGCTCAAATTCCGTGTTTTCAAATTATTCTTCAACTTTTTAATAGTTTAGACCTCTCGCTCCCAAAAGCTATGTATTTCGATTCCGTTGTATCGGATAGCACACTAGACGTTGGGTTAATGTTGTTATTATACCTTACTTAACGTCAATTTTCCCTTTATTATGAGGGAGTCATCAAAAATGTTCGCTGAAAAATTTCTTGATTATATTGTGCATCATTGATATATCGCTTTATTATCGATGGGTCATCGTTTATCACGATAAACATTAGAACTGCCATATTAGAATTGTAATATCTGGTAAAGGAATGGGCACAAGCTGATCGTGACATATCGACACATAACTTATTATAGTGATACCTTAATCCACATCAAGGTGACCTGTTCGCCTCAATAATTTTCGATAAATATTTTTAATGTTATGCGTAAGCATAATTAGAACGATAATTGACACATTCATAGTGATAACATCTTTATTTCGATAAAATGGCGATAATTATCGTCGAGATTTATTAAGATAGAAGAAAAATCTCGATAAACATAACGAGTGATTCTTTTGAAAGTGTACCAGAGTTTACATCGACTTTATCCCAACAGTTCGAAAGTAACATGATTAGCATAACTCAAGCTCTTGATGAAGAAAATTACATTTAAAACATTTTAAACCGGAGCCTTCCGGAGATCCCATTTCCCAGCAGAAAAGACGTTTTCTGGGCATTTTCATCATTTTTTAGCGAAACACTTTCATTAGCTGGTGCCGTCAGATTAGAATCTATATGTGCAGCGCTGCAAAATTCCTAACGGACAAAACGTTCCAAAATGCTAAGCACGTTCTCAGAAGAATTTTTTAAAAATTGTTTTTTTCGTAAATCATATTTTCCCCCCAAAATTGTGTCAACACACGACAACAAGATACGCATTCGACGTATCTTGTCAAGCTCTATCTGATGAAGTGGTTCTCATTGAGATTAAAAACTATCTAATGATAGAAAACAACAACTTTTAAAGGCGACTTTTCTCGTTTTTCAAAGTCTGAGTACGTGCTGCGCCATTCCACGGGATTACAGGACGTGAAGTGGCACACATTTCGCATGTACTCGACGTAGGCTATTAGAAAAACAAATTTTACCTTTGCCCAAGCACTTTTGAAACAGACGAAAATCCTGTGGTATTTTTGCTGGAAAAACACTTTTTGTGAATATGCTTGGGCAAAGGCAAAAATCTATCTTTTCTAATATATCAGTATATTTTCGCTATCGTCGTAATAATTAACGATTTTTTATCGGAAATTATCACGATGAGTCAATTATCCTCGGTAATCATACCAGTTCTCCAAATACTGCTCCATCGAGATACAATACATAAATGACATCGCGATGCTTTTAGTTTTTATCGAGTTGACTTGTTTTCTGCTAAGAATCTATAAATATTTATCAGGCATTATCTCCATAATTTTATTTTCTGATTTAAAGATGGCTTCATCACGATAAAGTCCGATAGATACTTATCGCAGTTTTTCGAAATATAGATAATTACAGCGCAAAGCGACTTGTGTATCGCGATAGTCTCCGCTATCGCACTTTATCGATAGACGTCGATAAACTCTGGTAATCGTTTATCCTACTGAAGATACTTTAAGACATTTGACACGCCCGATGAGAATGTTCACGTTAGCATATTCGCCTTCTAGTCTATAATCTAACCTTGTCAGTAATCTATGCAGTTTTCAACTCAACAAACAACAACAAATTATTTCTGTGTCGTAAATTAATAGAGTATTTTTTCTCAAATTTTGAGTTGTGAATGAGAAATTTTGAGTTTCTAACTGAGATACAAATGAAAAGGGTCGTTTACTC